ATAAATAAAAATTGTTAATTTTGTTAGTTTTGCATTTTGTAAGATGCAATTTAACATCAAATGTTATTTTATACGTACTATTAAACTCACAAAAATAAAAAAAAGAATGTACATAAACCATAAGAAAAGGACAATAGTATCAAATAAATTATTGTATATTTATTGTTAGATTGTTGTAACAATAATTGGACTCATGTTCTTTTACTCTCTCTCTCTCTCTCTCTCTCTCTCTCTCTCTCTCGCGCGCGTTTTCTTTCTAAACAAAAAAATAATGAACAAAAAAAAGAGAGTTTACAGTGAACAACTGGGTTCGAGTGATTTGGACAAAATTTATCTAATGATTCCACTTTACTTTTTCAATTTACAAGCTCGAAAGGAAGTGAATAGGATTGAAAACGAAATTGGAGACATGGTAAGAAGAGGATTGGTCCTTTGGGAAGCTGAAACATATCCGATTATGTGAAGAACATTACTCTGGCAACATGTATCTATGTAAATAAAGCAAGAAAAATGCACTTATTGCTACCGCGATTTTGAGATGCGGGTAGATATTCTTCTTAGGACGCTTAGATCGTTGTATTCTGGCTAACGCAGTACACAACCCGTATAGAAAAAGATCGTGAACCCCATAAAAAGAAAGAAAGAGAAAGAGAAAGAAAGAGGAGAGAGAAAACAGATGAAATTATTTTTATCAAAGCTATGGCGACGTTCAAAGGCAAAAACAAAAAGGAATTAAAAAAAAAAAAGAAACAAACGCGTTTGGGATCATTTTAACTCTCGCCATGGTGTTTACAAAAATTCTACTTCAAAGCTTTAAATTCTCAGTCGGTTAAATTATTTCTACTATAAATAAATTCATGCACGTAAACCGATATGGTAGATTATAAATTATTATTAGTTTTAAAAATTAAATATGTACTCCTTTTTAATACTTTTGAAGGAAATTGTAGAAAAATTATGATCTTTTTACATTTAAAGTCTGTAAACAAAATTAATTTGAACAAAGAAATAATAAAAAATAATTTGTTTAGATCATCTAAGAATTGTTGAGTTCCCATAGAAGTTTTATAAGAAGTTTTACCTTCTTTCTCTTTTGATCTAATGCTTTGTGGAAGACAATTTAATCTCGTTATTATAAAAATGGAGTGAAAATCATGTCGGCATTAGTATTCGGTTGAATAGTAAAACAAGTTGTTAACACTTGCCTTTTTTTAAGTATCCCTTTTCTAAAAGTTAAAAGAATTCGATTCGCAAAGTTCATTTGTACGGTCTCTCTGTCGTTTTGTTTTTCGAGACTTTGAAGGGCTTAGGGCGTCCTCGTTCTTTGTCATCATCACACAAGCTTTCTTTTTCTTCCCCTTTGTCTTTTTCTCCCTTGACCATTCGCGTTCGTCTTTCTTTGGTAAAGGGACAACAAGCGTCACCAAAGAAAAGATGCTTCGAGATCGCAGCAACGTTGCCACGCCATTTTTTTTTTTTAACAAACAAATTACACGAAATTCAAAAATAATTTAACACTTTACAAACATTAATTAATTAATTAATAATAAAATTATTATTATTATTATAATTTCTCTCTCTCATTATTTACAAGTAAAGTGTGAATCAAAATCAATTAAACTAAAAATATGTGAATTTTTAACAATTAATTCGCGACGATTTTTAAAATTAATATACAATCAATAATTTAATTAATTAAATAATATCGAAATATAAAAAAGTATATAATTACTTTAAAATATAATTTGAACAAACTTTACAGCCAATCGCCGATAATTTATATGATAATAAATATTTTTAATAAGATCCCCCGCGTATACCAATATTATCTTTAATAAATCTACGAAAAATTCGATAAATCGTATCGATAAATTTAAATTTATATCGCAATGGAATAATCATAGTAAATACTCAACGAACAATCACATTCAATACGGTCGTTTAGTCTCGTCATATTTTATAAATATCTTCTTTCTTATAAATTAATAGCCTTAGTTTGATAACACGTATTTTTAAATAAAATATACAACATTATCCCCCAAGGAAACTGAAATCTTTCACGAAACGCTTTTTAAAAAGAGTTTTTATTTGGTATAATTTACAATAATTACTAATTGCTATCCATTTTGGTTTTAATCGCGGATTACGTAATTACTATGTGAATAAAGTAAAAAACGCGCGACACATTAAAAACACAAATCACATACATTCTTTTAGAAATAATAATAATAATCGTCATCATCACATTATTTCTTTTCACGATATGATCATTTTTAATAAGAAATAAATTTAAAAAATTTTTAATATACATAATAAAAATAAAATTAATATTATTGGTTATATCGTAATAACGATAAAAAGGAGCCATTAAACCAAATTCCATAGTTAGCCTTAAAAACCAAGATGGCGTAGGGTAAAAGATATTAAATAGAAGAAAAAGAAAAATGAAAAAACAAATAAAATATAAAAACTAAAAATGATAATATAAAATTAAATGTAAATAAAATAAGAGGCGTGATTTTCGATTGGTCACATATGTAACACATATGTATGGCATGTGTATGGAGAAATGGGATCGTAAAAGAATATGTATATAAAAGAGGGAGAGACGATGTGACAACGGTATTAGTGTTGCAGCTAATGGTGCCGAGCCAATGATGCCACCACCAGTCTAGCGGTACAAACTAACACGATGTGATAGCCGGTGGGAGACACATCGCTTATCATCTATTCATTTATTATTTTATTATGCATTTTATTGCTATTACCGACATAACAGATACACAACACATATATATACATAACACGCGTGTCACAGAGTCCATCGTCATAAGCGTACAAGATGCGCATACTTACACACAGTGTGTGTATGCATGTGTAAGTGCACTTGTAATAGGAATCGTTTTCTTAACTCAGTCAGTGTTATCTTATCACGCGTTGATCCTTACATGTCGATACCACCTCAAAATAAAAAAAATATTCTTACACTCTTCAATTTAAATGTATATGTGTATTAACGTCAATCGAATTTTAATTGTTTTTTTTTTTTTTTAAATACAGAAGGAAATTTTAGAACAAAAGATCATTATACTAAAGGAAAGTATAATACACACAACAACGTACAAATTTGACCAATCATCATTGATTATTTTCTCGATAAACGAATCATTTTGATCAAAATAATCTATTATCGTAGATATTCATTAAGCGAATATGTATAAATATGTGCATTTCTTAAAGAATAGAATATATGAATATGTTTAAGGGATCTTGACCGGCTATGTATTTTAAACATGCTTGCGTGTATGCATTCATGTATATATGTGTGTGTATTTCACTTCTATCTCATAGGATGCTAGCCACGAAGAACTCTGTCAAAACAAATACATATAAAGAGAGAAAGACAGCGAAAGAAAGAGAAGAGAAGAGAAGAGAAGAGAAGAAAAGAGAAGAAAAGAGAAGAAAAGAGAAAGAATGAGAGAGAAAAGTTAGATACGTAGGCGTTAGGCGAGTTTTATCATAGGGTTCTTAGTCGTTTCGTAAGAAAACGCGATGCAAGCCGAACGCTTAAAGAGAAACGATTATAACATATATTCGTAATAACTTTTAATTATCCTTAATTACATCTAAAACTTAAAAAAAAAGAAAGAAAATTTAAATATAAAATTAGTCCAATTATTTCAAAATTTAAATATACCCAATCCGTCATGTTGAAAGATTGAAACTGTAATGATTCATTTTTTCTTTCTTTCATTCATTTTTCTCCTTCTCTACATACCCGTTTTATCGTGGCGAATAGCACGAGGCAGGTATAAAGGTTAAACCAAAGTGTTGTAATGCACGTATAACACGAAACAAAAACACCTAGCACAAAAGGAGTAATAATCACGTGTACAACTGCTAGGCGCACGCACATCGGCAGCACTAACGCGGTCTACCCCGTTTACAATACAACTTACAGATATATTATGGCTTACTTTGTACCCGACGATCATGAATGAAACTTAGACCGGGTACTGGCCCCTTCCCTTCAACCCCCCAACCAGCCCCCCACCCATCTACCATCTAGCAATACTCCCCCCTTCATTTCTCCTCTACTGACCCAGCCCCCCTACCCCTCGTTTCCCTCCCAACGCGATCCCTACTAATGTAAGCATAGTCATTTCGGGAGAATAACTTATCTCGCTTCCTGATTCGTCGATTAATCCGCCTCCATTTTACTACCTCTTTACCCACTATACTGCTTTTTGATTGGTCCAATTATTCCTATAGCTATCTCGATACATCTAGCGCTAAATTCAATCGAATGGACAAATTGTATTTATCATTTTTAGATTTGTGCATGGTTTTTTTTTAAATTATAAATTTCTGGAATATTTAAATGTGGTGATAAATCTGAAGGATAGTTTCCATTGTTTTAAGTATACTTTTTAAATTTTTAGTTTATATTAAACCATTATTGTCACGAAAGGTTAGATTTTCAAGAAAGTTTAGCTTATATTGAAAACTCGCCTTTCTCCTTACGCATATAGAATTACGTCATAGTTTCCACAAGCCAATCAGAAGAGAGAACTAAAAATACGTTATTTTAAACTTATTTGAAAGATTTAAAACGTTTGCAGAAGTATTTCTAAGCTAAGAAAGATTAGTTGTGGCCGATAATTTGCGAATTCTGTAAATAGATACAAACAACTGTATAAGTGTATTTAATAGTAATGATCGTTTGGTACGTTTAATTGTAAGACATTTTAGTTTATTCACTCTTCTAATGATATTGTTTTGCTAAGAAGAATTAACTTTAATGTTATCATTAGTTAAATTTCGCTCCATGTGTTTACATTTTGTATAAATTTCATATTAATTCGTAAGTATTAATTAATCTTATTATACTAGTTAATATTAAGGTTTAAGTTCGATTTTTGTATTAGCTTATATGTTTTCAGTGTTTGATTTTTTACAATTGTGTGGTAATACATTTTTCCAGACTGTTCTCTTTATTTTGAAAGAAAAAGAAAGATAATTTATTGTTTTAATTAAGTACTAGTTTTCTAAGGATGCTGGAAGGAAAAGAAAATAATATTCCAACTAATTTGACTACTAATCAATTACCAAAAGACGACAAACTACAAGTTAATAATTTTAAACAATTGAGAATTGTAAACACCACAAATTCAGTGTTGAAGAACAATCAAGAGATTATTAAAGAAACTGATAATAAAATTGTGCAATATGATAAAACTGATTCAACCAACTGTACAACTAAAACTAATCAAAACAATATTTCCAAACAATTGTCAAAGGAACAGCCTTCTACGTCCAAGTCAACTGAAGTAAATCTTCCAGTTAACTGTGATAATGCTACTAGTAATAATAATGACAAAAAAGATGTTGCGAGTGCTAATAATACTGAACAGAATGATGCAAATAATAAAAGTAGTAAAAAGAAATGGGTACTTACGGATTTTGATATAGGACGTCCTCTTGGTAAAGGAAAATTTGGAAACGTTTATCTTGCTAGGGAAAAAAAGTCTAAATTTATTATAGCGATGAAAGTATTATTTAAAGCCCAAATACAAAAGCAAGGCGTTGAAGATCAAGTTATGTTGTATCAAGTGCAAAGAGAAATTGAAATACAAACCCACCTAAGGTTAATTTTAAATAATTCTTTTACGATTATTTCCATCATTCCATAATCAAAAAGAACAAATAACAAGCATTTTTTATATTTTATTTTTATAGACATCCTAATATCTTACGTATGTATGGTTATTTTCATGATGAAAAAAGAGTATATTTGATATTAGAGTATGCTCCGAAGGGTGAATTGTATAAAGAATTAAATGCACAGCCTGACAAACGTTTTGACGATGTTAGGTAAGTATTTTTTATTTTAATATACTTACAAGCGTATTGAAAAAGTATAATAAAAATATTTACAGAACTGCCACTTACATATCGCAATTAGCTGATGCCTTAAAATATTGTCACAGTAAAAATGTAATACATCGTGATATTAAACCAGAAAATTTATTGCTCGGTTTAAAAGGTGAATTGAAAATGGCTGATTTTGGTTGGTCTGTTCATGCACCTTCATCAAGACGAGAAACTTTATGTGGCACTCTTGATTATTTACCACCAGAAATGGTAGCTGGAAAGACTTATAATCATACCGTAGATTTGTGGAGCATGGGAGTACTGTGTTATGAATGTTTAGTTGGTACACCACCATTTCTTACACAGAGTTATGAAGAAACATATATAAGAATTAAAAAAGCTAATTATAAATTTCCTAATTTTGTTAGCGAAGGCGCAAGAGACTTAATTTCAAAGGTAAACAACTATTTCATTACTTCAAATTATTTAACTATTTTTATTTTATTTAATGATTATTGTTTTATAGTTGTTAGTTATTAATCCAGAAAAAAGACTATCATTAGAAGATGTTTTAACTCATCCTTGGATCGTGAAAAATCGCACAACAGAACCCTATGTGCTGTGATATATTATTTTTATTTCTAAGACTGTCGCTATATTTTAACAATCTAATAAATGACGATTGATCTTTCTTAATTTAATTAATGGATAGATTAATTTTATAGGTGATTTTATAATCAAATTTTATAACTTAACCAAATAAAACAGATAAATTGCATTATTTCGTTTTATTAAATAGTATTTCAACTATGTATAGTGAAATATTTATTAATTGTTTAATTTCACAAAAAATTAATAGGATTTATTATTATTATTATTTTATCATTATTAACTATTATCGGAATTATATATATATATACGTTACAAAATAAAAATTTTGATGTGGTATCAATCATCTATTCGCTAGATATGTCGTCAAATATTAGAATAATGAAATTTATTTGTGTGATTACATTGGACAGAGTACAGAAGAAAGAAAAATAAAATTTTAATACTTATTTAAAATTAAAATATTATCATCATATATCTAATTATATAAGACACATTCCATTGATAAAAAGAAATCAATCCTTTTCATTTTCAAGTATTGTAAATTTTTACGGTATTTTAATAATAATAAATAAATAATCAGTTTTGTTAAAACAATGAAAGTAATTTTTAAAGTCAGTTATTTAAAAATATTATCAATTAATCTAACAAAATTATATTGCATTTTAGTCCATACAAAGTATACCATTCGTTTGTAGATAACATAAAATTTATTTATGTTTTATAAAAACTGTTATACAAGATAATGTTCCCTCAAATAAGATATCCGAACATTATCGTTTCATTATCTTATCTTCTCTTGTCTTGTTTATTAAATGATTCTTTTTACTATATAATATCAACATCAGAATAAAAAAGGAATATATCTACATAATTTGCAAATATTGGAACTTAAAAATTCTAATGCATATCATTTCTAACGTAAAAATATTATCTTACATAATAGTTATTTTTAATGTTGTTAGAAATTTTGATAAGACTTTGATAATGGAAGAGAAGTGCCACAAAATCTTTAATAAAATTGTTTTATGTTTCCATCGGTTCCACTGCTTCCATAACTACATCCACTATAGGTGTTTCCAACGGAGTATTATCCATAGGTGTTACCTCCGAATATTTCTTAACTGAATATAGCTTTTTTAATTTTTCATAATTTTTGATATCCTAAACATTTTAAATAATTTGTGTAAAAAATGTTTTATTATAAGTACACATATAAATTTTGTATGTAGAAAAAAAGACAAATTAATGGAGAATAAATAGTTGACTAATATTTTTTTAAGGCAAACCAAATTCATTATTTTATATAATAATTACCTATTATTTTACCTAATAATTAGCAAATACAATTACTTACTTTTTCATGAACCGATGGTCTAACTTTGTCAAACGCAATAGAAATGTGCCGCATGCAAATCTCTGGCTGTCCATGAAATCCTGTCATCAATTCTCGCAATGCCTCTAATCCTGCTTCTCTAATCAGCGATGCTAAATCAGCTCCGGTGAAGCCATCACACTTATCGTTATATCCAATTTCTCCCAAGTTTATATCTGCAGCTAATTTTGGTTTTGTACCATTCTATATGAGAAAATATATGTAGACAACAAGTTAACGAGTAAAAGATTATTTACCTATACTAACTCAATATCACCATTTACCTTAGTCAATGCTCTTATAATATCAACGCGATCCGCTGCTGTTGGTAAACCTACGTATAAAATTTTATCCAATCTTCCAGGTCTTAATACAGCAGGATCAATAATATCTGGACGATTGCTGGCAGCCATTAAGAATACATTTTGTCTACCTTCAACCCCGTCCATTTCCGTAAGCATCTGATTAACTACTCTCGACGTGGCTGAATTGTCACCTTCTGTTCTCTTAGGACACAATGCATCTAATTCATCGAAAAATATAACGCATGGGGCAGAATTTCTTGCTCTCATAAAACATTGGCGTACTGCTTTCTCGCTTTCACCAACATACTATTGACAGATGATGAAGTACATTGTTATTACTTAGTATTTTATAAATACAATTATGAACAAGAAAGAAATTTATAATACATTACCATATTGAGAAGTTCAGGTCCCTTTACAGAAATGAAATTAATACCAGCTTCGTTGGCAATAGCTTTAGCTAATAACGTTTTACCACAACCTGGTGGACCACACAATAATACACCTGTGGCAGAATTCAAACCTAACGATTCGAATTGTTCAGCATGACGTACAGGAGCCTAAAAAGATAATAATATATAGTAATGATTAATAATCCGTACTAATAACTATAGATTTGATTTTAAGTAAGTTAATATATATATATATTTACAAGTATAGCCATTTGTAATTCTTGTCTGATATCTTGTAATGAACCAATATCGTTCCATGTAACATCAGGTACTGTAACAAATCCTTCTCTTTTTGCAGAAGGTTGAACGACACGTAAAGCAGCTTCAAAATCTCTTTCCTCGATACAAAGTTTAGATAATTTTTCCGCCGAAAGAGGAGGTTCGTTTTGTAACCATGTAAGTAAATTTGATAATTCTGGTGACTTAGATGGCTCTTGTGTAACATCCATTTCTAATCCTGCATTGGAATTTTCTGATTGCGTTTTACTGATAGATGATACAGTATCTTCGATAGACGTTGGGCGTTCACCAGTCACAATATCATCAACTAAATTTCCTGAGTTTTCAAATGTTGTAACTTCTTTATCAGCCTGAGGATTGATTTCACTTATTTCAGGAGATTTAGATACATCAACGTCCATTACTGTCTCATTCAAGTCTTCAAAAATTCTATCGTAAGAAAAAAGTAAATTATTATTAATTAAATTAAATATTGTAAGATTTTTATAATAGAAAAAATAATATGTAGTTGATGTTTACCTTTCTACAGCAGCTAGGGCAGCTTCTCTAATTAAAGCAACGAGATCTGCTCCTACAAAACCAGGTGTGAGCGAAGCTACTGTTGATAAATTAACGTTAGGAGCTAGAGCTACTTTTTCTGTATGTACTGCCAATATTTTAGCTCTTGCATTTTTATCAGGTATACCAAGACAAACTTCACGATCAAAACGTCCTGCTCTTCTTAAAGCAGGGTCTAAAGAATCTGGTCGATTTGTTGCTCCTATAACTAAAACTCTATCTCCATTTTCTTTTGAATTTAATTCTACAAAAAAGAAATACACGATGTTAATATCTTTTTAGATATTTCATTCATAAGAATAATTTCAAATAATATGAACCATCTAAGCACGATAGCAATTGGGCTACGATTCTTCGTTCCATTTCTCTTTGAGCGGTAGCTCTATGAGGTGCAACAGCATCGATTTCATCAAGGAAAAGTACACATGGTGCGATAGCAACTCCTTGATCAAATAATTCTCGAATACGTGCTTCACTTTCACCCGATACTCCAGCCACTAATTCTGGTGCTGCTACTTTTAATAGAGGGATTCCTAATTCCTAATTTCAAAAATGTATAAAATATAAATAAACAACATAAAGGATAATCTCCTAAAGAATACTAATCAATTTTATCTTAAACAAATAAAGATACCAAATTATTTGATTATAACGAATGATTTTTTTATCTTTCCAAGTTGTGAAAAAATATATTAAATATCACTATAAGAAAATCGTTTCATATAAAATAAAAAAATATGTATTAATAAAATATTAAACTTACTCCAGCAATGGCATGAGCCAGCAAAGTCTTCCCACATCCAGGTGGACCATGAAGTAAAAATCCTCTAAGTGGAGATATGCCCAGTTGTTTAAATATTTCGGGATGTTTCATATGCGCCAATAACTTGCATACCGTTTTCAAAACCTTGTCGTTTCCACCCACGTCCGCGAATGTTACTTTTGGTTCCGTAATCGGTATTGTTTTGACTCTTTTTGTTAATGGCAATTGCCCACTATCAGTTTCTTTATCTCTTTGTCTTTTTCTAGTTGTCGTTTCGGTTGACGGTTTAGGAGTAGAAGAAGTCTCGACCTTTGCCTGAAATATTAACATTATTACGTTAAATTTTCAAATTAAAACATAAAATATATTTATGCATCTTGATATATTACCATTTGGGCCGATTGTTGCCTTTCTTCTTTAGACTCGCTGGATTTTTGGACTACCGGTGGAGAATCTGCATTTTCTTGTAAAATTTTATTAGCAACCACGGGATTTTTGTCCTTTTCCTCAGATTTCTGCTCAGATTTCTCAACGTCATCATCGCTGCTAATGTCTATAAGCTCTTTGTCGCTGGAATTCCCATTCTGCTTGCCCTTAGATTTCTTGAACATTTTCAATAAAACATCTCCTAATATAGCAGGTTGCGGATCTGACTAAAATTCATTGATTTTCTTTGAAAGATTAACAAGAGAAACTAAAAGGAAATATGAATAACATGCATTATGTACCTCAACATCAACTTCATCTTCGTCGTCATCATCCTCATAAGAATACCAATCACGTGAATTCTTTTTAGCAAACATTTCTGTAAGTTCGTCGTATGCTTTACGTACAAGTGTTCTGAATGCGTTGCGTTTTTTTCCACGATAATCCCGATACTTTCTTTGAAGAGTATCAGCCATCTCATTCACATCAATATATACTCTGTTTTCATTTTCATGCATATACTGCAATAAAATACAACGGTATGAGATATTTAGAAAATAATGCTTTCTCGTTTATATTGCGTGTATCATTAATATAATATGTATGTGTTAGAAATTATATGCATTTATTTATTAGATTTAAAATATCTAAGCATAAAGAAAGTATCATTTTCTTCATTACTTGAATAGAAGGTAACAAATATAATATGTTAGATATGTTCCATACCATGTATTTATAATATTATCTCATATGAAAAGAGAATATTTTATTTTTCAGATTACTACAATAATCTACAAACACAAGTAATAATCGTGGTAATAGTGTATGTAAAAAAAAAAAGAAAGAAAAAAAATTAATTATATATAACGTAGGTTATATTGGTTCAATAATTTTAAATAATGTTCTATTTTACAAATGAAAATTGCGAAATCTTCAAACGGTTTATTACAAAAGAAAAGAAAATAGAAAATACAAAGAAATAAATCTAGCTTTTATTTCTCTTTTATAAATTAACAACATTAATTAGTAAATATTACCGTTTGCACGCGAGATAATAATTGATCTTTGAAATGTCGGTGACAATTTTCGATTTTGTTTTTACTGTCCATGTTTTTTGATTTATAATCACCGCTAGATCCTTGCAAGGGTATGATATCAATCGACGAATTTAATTTTCCAATTTTTTGCATTTTCGTAGAAGACTCAATGTATTAGCAATCACAACTACTTCGATGAATTCGACTTCACAAATAACTTTTATCTGTTATATTTTCTGTTATTAGACATGCAAGATGCATAGATACGTTACTGAGCATGCCAATAAACATATAACTTGTTTTAAACTTTATATCATCCATATATTTCAATCCTAACATTCGTTTACTTTTAACTGATTGGACTAGTCACTAAATTCTCTTTGCTCATTGATTCATTCGTTTTCACTATGTAATATATATTTACGAAATTAGTTTATTGCATTACATTAATAAATCATTTCCATATAATCTTTGTTTATATTTATATATATAATTATATTTATAATTATATTTTTTTCTTTAAATAAACGGCAAATGGAAATAAAAGAATTAAAGATTTTTTACGCCACTAAACGCCATTCTTAAATGAACCAATCAGAGAAGTAAAACTTTTTTCCAGAAATTTTTTTTGGTAAGATTTTGAGAAAATTCATTAACCCTTATCAGTCGTCATCTTTTTAAATACGATTCTGATTTCGTTGTAGTTGATTTCGGTTTGTATGGAATTTATGGAGGGTAGAGGTAAAGAGAATCATCTCATAAAGGAGAAAATTTTAAAAAGTGTATACAGCATATGCTATAAATAATAGTTCAAAAACCTTCCAGAATGGCGCTGTTGTAGACAAAGGGTATGGTATGAATATAGCAATTGTAAACGAATTGAAGTATGCTGAGTTAAAAAATTTATTATTATTGGCGACTAAAGTAGTTAATTATTGAAAATTATTAAGTTTTTCTTTCCTTGTTTATTTCTCAATCATTCTCTAATAATATTTGGCGCTTCCTTTAAAATTTACCCTGATACTAATGTGGCGCCACCCTAATTGAATGCATTTCGACGGACACTTTCATATACACAGATGATTCTCCTTACCTCTACCTATAAAGGGTAGATACTTTGACAGATATTTTGCCACTAGAGTACGTTAGAGTGGCTAATATCAGGTTTTTAAAACCTTGTTTATGGTCGCGGGAATGTAACAATTGTACTCACGTGTTAGTCAATATAAATTAACCAAATCTTATAATTAACGTTAAAAATAGCAATAAGAAAATTTTTTTTATTATTTTACAATTATTTCCAAGATATTATCGTTAACTTGCTGTGTAAATCTATTCAATTTCATCTTACCAAGTTGCAGTTGAGTAAAGGATGGAAAACTAAATTAAAAAAGTCCAATTAAAAGTAAATTGTAATCTAAAAATAAATTGTATCTATGGAAAATTTATCTCATTTAATAAGTATGTATACCAAATGGTTTATCTAAATTTAAAGTAGAAATAGTTTAACAAAATAATAGTAAATAATAAATGATACATTCGTTTAAATATAATGTAATTAATAAAAATATTCTAATAATATTAAATATATTTTTAGCGTTTCATATGATAAATTTTTAAAATGCGTAAAATCTTACGTGAATGTATATACAGAAAGTTATCTAACATTTAAATAACTGTTAAAAGGAAACGAAAATATCGACTACATAGAACTTTTACATATTACATAGAATTAATCAAAAAATCTTCTAAAATAATAATTTAAATAAACAGTAAATTTATCGAGTAATTAAACATTTTTTTTTATTTAATTGTAAAAAGAAAAAATAAGCTTTTATTCATATTTACATTACATCTTATTAATATTTACATATTTACATTACAATTCTTTTATCTTTGCATTACAGATTACGATTCATATAACATAAAATCGTTATATTTACATTTAATAACGAATTTATAATCAAGATTTGAGATGTTCTCTCAAGTCATCTGTTAAACCACCTAAACCAATAGATGTAAAAAAGTTAATAGCAAAACGTGTATTTTTTGGATTATCTCTTGGAAATAATCCACTGAAAGCTTCTTGTAATGTTACATCTTTAACTCTTTGATTAAGTTTCGAAAGACCCATGTATTCGGAAAGTACTTGAAATAATATTTTAATAAATATTCTATTAGAACTGGTAGTATCTTCTTCGTTTAATTTTATACACGACAATACTTCCCATGATATAGAATCGGTAAATAACAAATGAGCAAAGAATTTCGATAAGTTTCTTAGCTTATTAATATTTAATCGATGTATTGTATGATAAGATTCTTGAAATATTTCTTCGAAATGTGTAACATACACTTTTTTAATTGCACAAAATCGTTCTGCTAATAATTCAAAAATTTTTTCGTACGTACGCACTTCCGCGCAACAATCAAGAAACATATGACAAAGTTCTATTTCTTGTCCTAGCTTTAATTGCATTTTCATTAATTTATGCGCACATTCTTCTAAATCTAATGATGAATGTATAGTTAAATAAATAGTTCTTCTAAGAGCTGTTAAATTAGTTTCCGTATTGTCTATAATAAGACCTTCTTTCTCTTTGATATCCTCAGCATTGCTATCTTCTTCATCGGAACTTGTCACTGCCTTCAGAATCACTGTCATTTAAAACAAGAATTTTATTGCTTAATTGTTTATATTTTTCCTCATTAGCCTTATAATCACTGTCAAACCTGAAAACATTTAAAATGTCTTGAGAATCTATTGCTTCGTCTAATTGTATGAGATGCGTGAATTGATTTTCTTCCTCTACAAGATCTAATTTTGGAGGAATTACTGGATGATCTTTGAAGCCATCCTTTCGAATTTGAAACATGACTTCAATCATATATTGAACACGCTTATCCGATTGACCCTCGTGCAATATATTTCTCAACATTTCAAAAATAGCTTCTATACCTTTACGAGATACTTCTGTTAATTTCATACCACATTCTTTCAAGAATGCTATGGCAACTTCTACAGAATCATCCGTAGGTGTATCAACGAGTTAAACGTTAAAATTTCCAAAGGTAAAATTTCGTGTGCCACACGTTGATTCAAAAGATGTGCGACAAATGTTCCAGATGATATACAGAGACGTTTGTCATTTCTACGAAAACCACGTTTAAATTGTATAATTAGTTGCTTCAATATTAGTTCACCAATATTAGGAAATTTTGAATTAATAATACCTGTAAGTGCTGCATAAACAGGAGTGAAAGTTGGAGAAGCAGCTTGAGCTTGTATAATAGAACGAGCTAACAAACCTCTTCCCCTAACAATATTTTCTCTTAAAAGTTCCCTTGTTATAAGACCAATATTGCTCACGTTAACTTTATTAATACTACCATGAATTGATTTCTTTAATGCTTCCCATGCAATCCGCTGATACGCAGATCCATACTTTTCCGTTATATTTGCTTGCATCATACGCAATTTTGCTGGTGGTATATAGGCACCCCCTGTTTTTGATGTTAATACATCATGATTGTATACACATACAATTTTTCTTTCCGAATGTTTATCTGAACGTCTTTCTGAACGTCTTTCCGAACGCCTATCTGAGCGTCTCTCCGAATATCTTTCTGAACGTCTATCCGAATGTCTATCGGAATATCTGTTAGAACGTTTATCTGAATATTTTTCCATGTTTTTTTTTTAAATACTATAATTAAATTTGTTTACTATGCACACAGAAGAAAACCAAGTTCAACATAAACTTACAAGCGCTCGAAGAAAACTTAATACAAGTGTAACGTGTCACAACGTTTTTCACTGCACCATCTGCATTACATTTATCGAATTAAATTTTCTAGACATTTGATATTTATAATATATTATATTATAAATATCAAATATGTTAAATACTATATTATAATACTATTATTACACATTTAATTTCTTTTCTATTTTAAATTCATTTTAAAATTTTGGACTAAATTATCATTGAAAATCCACCAATAGAAATGATCCTGGAATCCAACAACCAATAACAACCAACACTTTCCGTTATGTATATATATATATATATATATTTGATGTACTTCATTGATTATATTTGAACTATACAACCCTATTCTAGACTGTCCTCGGAATATCTATGAAACTTGCAAACTTTTCCTCACTATCTCTACAAGTATACCTGGGAAATATAGAGTGTAAAGGTAAGTAGTATCATCTCATATGAGAGAAAATTTTAAAAAGTGTATTCAGCATATGCTATAAATAATATTTCAAAAACCTTCCAGAATGGCGCTGGTGTAGACAAAGGGTATGGTATGAATATAGCAATTGTAAACGAATTGAAGTATGCCGAATTATGTAATAATGTAGTAAATATAACCTTACAGAATTATTATGAGAAAAAGTCTAACTAGAGTGATTTTATTTCGTAAATTGTGAATAGTACGTTTATTGATTTTTTATCATTTAATTTTATGAAAAAGTGTGTGAGTAACAAAACAGTTATGGGTAAAATTTGTGTTGTGAAAAGTTGTCCCTGATGCTAATGTGGCGCCACCCTAATTGAATGCATTTCGACGGACATTTTTCATATACACAGATGATACTCCCTACCTCTACTTTCCATACCTCTACCTTTCATAATGCAATTATACATTTGTGGATGGTCATTTTATGTGCAAGACGAGCGAAACGCTAGATATCTTGGTTATTGAAGACGTGTTTGACGCTCATTGAGAGTTTTTAGAGTTAAAAATATGAATATTAAGGAAATAAAGTTATTAATGAAATTAATGTAATTTACTTATGTAAAAATGTTTAAGAGTTAGCTAAAAACAAATATATATTTATATATTTTAAATCTATATTTATGTATTAAAAATATGGATATTAAGGAAGTAAATATATTAATGAAATTAATATAACTTCCTTTTTTATAAATTTTAAAAGGTTAACTATAAACAAATATATATTTATGTATAGAATAGTTGATTTTTAATGATCTCATTGTAAGTATACATTTGTCCAAGTTAACACAAACAAATTAATGGCGTTATTAAGAAGTTATTCGATTATTTAATAAATTATATTTTGTTATATTTAGATGACTGTGGATAATGAAACTAGTGATCAACAAGTACTTTTTGCGACGGGAGGTTATGATCATACAATCAAATTATGGCAACCACATACAGGAAATTGCGAGCGTACATTTACAGAGACAGAATTTGTATCCTTTTTATGTTTTTCTACAATTTATTATGAAAAACTTATCTTTATTAAATACTTTTATTAAATATATTTAATTAATTAATATGTATATTTTTATATACATATTTGAATATTTTTGAATATATGAATATTTTTTTTTAATACATCTTAGCAGCAAGTAAATGCTCTGGACATTACACCAGATAAATATTTTATAAGCGCAGCAGGTTATCAACATATTCGAATGTATGATTTGGGAAGAAGTGATCCTACCCCGGTAGTTACCTATGAAGGAGGTTCCAAGAATATTAGCGGATTTGGCTTTCAGGTTTCACAAAACATTGAAATCTTATCGAAGAATAATGTAGAATCAAATGTTATCGTATTGTGATTATTGTCACTAATTTTTTTAGGAAGAAGGAAAATGGATGTATACCGGAGGAGAAGATTGTTCTGCACGGATATGGGATCTTAGGTATGTTAAATAATTTAAAATGAATTTGCATCCATTAATAAATACACAGAATAAATTTTTTATTGCGTTTCAGATATCTTAATGGTAAATGCCAAAGAATATTTCAAGTCTCAGCCCCTGTAAATTGTGTATGCTTACATCCTAATCAAGCAGAATTAGTAGTTGGTGATCAAAGTGGTGTTATACATTTATGGGATCTTCGTTCGGATCATAATGAACAATTGGTATAACCGCAATTATAAATGAATAATCTTCTATTTTTATACGAACATATTTTCTTATTTTAGATACCAGAAACAGAAGCTTCCATTCAAGATGTAACAATAAATCAAGATGGTACATATATGGCTGCTGTAAATAATAAAGGTCATTGTTATATCTGGACACTTTCTGGAGGTATAGGAGAGGAACCAACTAAACCTATTCCTCGTCATAAACTTGTAGCTCATAAGCGTTATGCCCTTCGTTGTAAATTTAGCCCTGATTCTACGTATGTAAAAATCTGATATTTTTTTGATATTTTTTTAATGATTAAGAAATGAAAATGATAAAATAATAATATTTAGCCTGCTCGTAACTACATCTGCTGATCAAACTGCCAGAGTTTGGAGAACCACAGATTTCTCCGAGGTACAGGTACTTCAACACGAAGCTAAACGTTGGGTTTGGGATGCAGCCTTCAGTGCTGATTCACAATATCTATTCACTGGTAAGAATAGAATGTGTACAATAATTTCATTAAGATAAAATTTAATATGTCTGTTACGTTTAGCTTCTTCTGATGGCATTGCAAGATTGTGGAACGTTTCAACGGGAGCGATAGTACGCGAGTATAAAGGTCACCAGAAAGCAGTAACAGCTTTGGCATTTTATGAAGAAGCTGTATCTACGGCTTAATAGTTCAGACAAAAAGGTGTATAGAATAAAAATCTTTTTTAATTTATTAAATATAAGAAATTAATTTTTTTCTACAGGATAGTACGCAGTAATACTTAAAGAAACAGTATTATATTTACGATCTAATATATGTATATGTTATGGGCAATATATATAATGAACAGATATTTCACAGATTGCCCGGTCTCCTATAGAATGCCCAGAAGGTTTCGGTCAATTTATAAAATATATTTCAATGAGGTGTGTTTAGAGCGCAGAGAAAGGTGAAAGAAACTGAAGCTATTGTAAGTGAAACAAACTGTGAAAATTTAAGAATCCCCCTCCTTCCTCGTGCTCTAAACACCATAAACTAAAGCATATTTTATTGATTGGCCGAAACTCTCTAGGCATTTTGTAAAATGATCGGGGACATTCTATGCAATGCCGGCAGTAACATATTGCATTTAACATATACATATATACATATATAATATATGTATATATAATATTATAATTTAATTTATGAATGTGAATAAAAAAATATGTATAGCAAATATATTATTTCTGATTATTTAAAGTTTAATCGAGTGCGTGAATGAATATAAAACAGAAAAATAAATTTAAAATTCCAAAATGTGTAATGTTAATCTGATGACGTTTATCCGGCTTATCACGAATGAATGAATGACTTGTCGTTCGTAGGACTCCGCTGATAAACGATAAACCAACATGTATTAAAAGCGAGCGAGTGCTTAGTATAGATCAGTTGAACGCTTATACGCGAACGAACATTATCTCAAAGCGTAACTTTGTCGTTTGTCTTATAGTGTTTGTATTCAAATATTACTATTACGAAATTCGTTCGAAAATTTAAAATAAATGATATCAAGTATAAACAGTGACGCTTAGAAGAGATAAGGAGTATTATTATCGTTCTATTTCTTAGTTAATGTGTTCATTTTGTTCTTTTTTATTCTTTTATTTGACTTGTTATCTTGCTTCTTGTCGCTGCTTTTTTAATCTATTTACATGAATTTATTCTAAATATCCGTAATAATAGTAAATATAAAAGTAAAGTAAAAGTAAAAGTAAAATGATTCGTAAGTTTATTGTACGAACGTCGAAAAAATTATTAGAGCTGCGTATTGCAAGAAAGGAGCATATTAGAAATGTACATTTCAAGTTTTATCCCAACACAAGGTCGTTCATACCCGAGCGTGAGTAAATTATATGTCTCGTAATTGTAGGTAAAAGTCGTTATTAAATAAAAAATTTTTATTGTTTATTTATTAAGTATTAATAACGTGTTGAAATGATAACTTGTAAAAGATATTTTTGTATTTTTTATTTTTTCTTCTAAATATTATTTTTAGCAAACATACTGATTATGTTAATGAATAATAATAAGGATAATATAGAACGTTTAGTGCGTATATTTTTACTTACGTTTTTCTTTTTATTTTCATTTTATTTCCATTTATTTCTAAACGACGAGAAAACATTTTTACGCGAATATGTATTCAATCGAGATTTAAATTTTACGATTTGTATGATTAACGAACGCGCATGTGCACCCTATCGAATTAATAATTTACTGTTCGTAGGAAAAACCGAAAAATTGAATATGTATCAAGCCATTAATCAAGCTTTGGACATTACTTTAAAAAATGATTCATCCGCAGGTGATTATAAAATTCTTTTAACGTAAATAGGAACAAACACGAATTTATATAATAGTTGATTATACTAAAAATTACTTACGTCTGTTTTACATGAGATTATTTTACAAAAATGTACATGACATTGATAACAACCAAGCATTATCGAACATAAAAAATATTTTTTAACGAGATAATATAAATAAGTTTTTGTATTAACATATATAATAATAACATAATTATTATATATATATATAATGATAATTATATTATTATTATTTATATCTATATTAATTAGCATAATTACGATAAGAGTCAATGAAAAAATGTTAAATGTAGAGTGTATTGACAATAGTGATTCATTTTTTCATACATTTTTGCAAATACTTTTGCATGGTCTTTTTATTCTGAAAAATGTTATATTTTTGAATACAGTTATTTTTGGAGAAGATGTTGCCTTCGGTGGTGTTTTTCGTTGCACCGTAGGATTACAAAAACGTTATGGTTCCGATCGAGTTTTTAATACACCTTTATCCGAACAAGGTATCGCAGGTTTTGGTATTGGTTTGGCGAATGTTGGTGCAACCGCCATTGCAGAAATTCAGTTTGCCGATTATATATTTCCTGCATTTGATCAGGTTATTAAGTTTTTCAATTATTTCCTTTTTCAAATATATCGAAATTCTATAATTAGAAATATAATACGTATGTTTTTATCTTTTAATTATATTAGATAGTAAATGAAGCAGCTAAATGCAGATACAGAAGCGGCGGAATGTTTGATTGTGGAAAATTGACGATACGATCACCTTGCGGTGCCGTTGGGCATGGAGGACTGTATCATTCACAAAGTCCGGAAGCTTATTTTGCTCATACACCTGGATTAAAGGTTTTTATTTAATAAATAACAATAAAAATTGAACATTTATTATATTAATATTTGTGTAATGTCGGTAAAACAGAAATCTATTTATTATTAATGGTCTGTACTAATAGAAATGTACTGTTACGTATCTATTGTCGGTAAAGCAGTAATTTGGTGTATGATATACCTAAACGTACAATGAGTAGTGAATTATATATATGTAAATATACATATAATTTGTGTGCATATAATGTGTAATATATACATGTGATATATGCAAAAACATGTAATATCCATCTAGTAAATTTATATATATAAAGTACATGTAGCAAACGTGCATTAGCCTTTACACTGCACTCACGATTACGAACGTGTAGAGTTATTTCGAAGAAGATATTTCCGGGAATAAAAACATGCTTTATGGTTCTGCTAGAAAAGAAAAAAGGACGAATTAAACGCCAATAAATTTTCTATTACATTATCTTCATATTTTTTTTTTTATTATTTCTTTTTTTTTAATGTGGATGCTAATTTCTTTAGAATGGTTCGTTAATCCTTAGAATGCTATGGACACATATATGCGTTTGGTAAAAATTATCAGAGTGGTCTTATCAACGCATATACATGTTTGTTAATATTAATGTAAAATAATGTAATGTTTATATTAACCCTTTCACTACTACGGGTGACTATAGTCACCCGCCACAAAGCGACACCCGCACACGACGGGTGACTATAGTCACCCGTCACACGATGCCACCTATACGCGACGGGTGACTATAGTCATAGACTATAGTCACATAATTATGAACAAAAATCATTTTGGTTCTAAAAGTAATGTCACAAAGTCGTTTTTGAGACAATAGGCTCCGAATGCTAAAGACTGCGCGCGCTTAATGTTCCCACTTTCGGTACGGCGCTCCGTTCTAGACGAGGTACTTCGCGGCGAGGCCCACCGTAGCGAAAGGGTTAATTAATTAAATTATATTCAGAAACAAAAACTCTTTAATTATTAAATATAATTTATTATCAGAATCTAGTTAATAATAAATTATTCCGTTCTTACAAAACGTTTTAGTTAAAAGTATTCAGCACTCAAAGGGTTAATTTTATTTTCCTCGTTTGTAGATTGTAGTACCTCGAGGTCCAGTGCAAGCAAAAGGACTTTTATTGAGTTCTATTCAGGAGCCAGATCCTTGCATAATTTTTGAACCTAAGGTCCTTTATCGTACGGCTGTTGATGAGGTTCCGGTTGGTCATTATAAAATTGAAATTGGTAAAGGAGAGATTATTAAAGAAGGTACTTTTATTTATACAATAAATTTTTACTATTATTTTTTTATTTATTTATATAGAGGGTGCACCATGAATTGGTTTAGATTGATCAACATTTCCTAGATTAATAATTTTATAATTTGTAGAAAACATATCAGCTTTAAAAAAGGTACCAAACTAAAATAATTGATTTTTAAAATTATATATAAATTTTTGTTCAATTTTTATATACAAGTCTTTTATATACAGAAAAATATATATTTACTATATATGTATTTTTGTTTTGACGTAGGAAAAGACGTGACTCTCGTAGGATGGGGCACACAGGTGCACGTACTATTAGAAACAGCCGATCTCGTCGAGGAGAAGCTCGGTGCATCTTGCGAGGTGATAGATCTTCTTTCCATTTTACCTTGGGATGTTCAACTAGTTTGCAAGGTAATCTAATTCTTCTAATTTGCACATTTACAATTTGTTTTAAATTATTTTACTTATATCTCAAATATATTTATATTATAATAATTATTTATGTTATTGTTAAAAGAAAAAAATGAACAAATAATTATTTTCAATTTAGTTTATCAGAAACATGTATAAACTATATTTTTATAATATCAGACTCTTCTTATTTATCAGGCACAGTGATCTCAGCATATTTGAACTTTAAACTATAATAATAGAGAGTGAATAAGAAACGAAATAGAGGTAGGCCAGGGTTCAGGCAGTTATCTTCTGGACTCAGGTCCAGTGATGCAGATCGTAATTGGAAAGTTAGTTTCATTGGTAAATTCATAGAGATATATTCCTGGTTAAATCATTCGTTTCTTTCTCACTATCTCTCTCACTCTCTTTCTCTTTATTTCTCGATAGCACTCAACTCTCGAGACTGGTGTAGTTTGCGCAACTAAGAAACTGTTTCGAAGGCTCATCGAGAAGGTTGCTAATCGGAGATTAGGTCTCTTCAACACAAGAGAACAAGAAAGAAAAAAAGAAGAAAAAAGAGTGAGAGGGGGGAGGGAGGAGGAGAAAGAGGAAAAGAGAGAGAAGGTGAGAAAGAGCACGTGTTTCTTGCGTCTTCAGAACGAAATCAGCCTGCTCGGATAATTCGAGATCCGCGATCGAACGGCAAGCGTTTATAAGGACTTTATCTTTTCCGTTCCACCACGTGTTCTCTCCTCCTTGCGTAATGTCTCCGTGCGCATTCGCTCATTCGTGCAAGTTAGAACGTTGAACGTCGTTGTTAGATGGATATGGTTGAACTATCTCGACCGAAACGACCGAGAATATCTTTCCAATAAACTTTCCCACTTACGATATATTACTTCTTATATAGGGAGTTTCTAATTTTTTTTTTTCAATTTTTTTTTCTTCTAGTACATGATACCTTTGTATAATTACTAGGTCATTTGTTGTAATTATAAGCATACTTACACGTATGCATAATTACAATATACATATATATGTATGTGTTTATTTTCTATTAAAAAAATATGATTGATAGTAATGAAATTTTTTTAATTGATAAATTTAAGGAAAGAATACATTTTATAGGCATATAATTTTGAGGCACCCGTTATCGTTAATTATTAAGATCATTCATTATATATATATATATATATATATATATATAATGTATATATATATGTATATATAACTGTAAGCATACTAAAAACGCATACTAACATTTATAAATATATATATTATTTTCTACTAGAAAAGTAAGATTAACAAATGCAATTTTTCGAATTGTTAAATTGGAAGAAAAAATTTCTTTTGTTAGATGTATAATTTTGTAGTATATAGGATACTCTATGTATAATTATTAGATCAATTGTTGAAACTATAAGTATACTTATACGCACGTAGTAAGTATATATTCTATTTTTCTATTAGAAAAAGAAAAATAATTCATAACGAGTTGTCTGAATAAACACAGAGAAGAAAAAGAGAGTGGTATTATAAAGTAGAATCTACAAAGGTGTTATTAACGATAAATAAAGATAGACAAAGGTATCGTGTGTACTACATGTGTCGTTGATGACGTAAAAAGCGCTGACAGGCTTCAAAAAATACAAATTGCCTCGTAAAACTCTGATAATCCAATTGTAACCGACTTGATCTTTCTCTCTCTGTCTTCCTCTCTCTTTCTTGGTCTTTCTGTTTCTCTTTTTCTCCTCTCTCTCTCTTTCTCTCTTTCTTCCTTTCTTTCCACGAGTCTTAATTACACTAAATCGGATGAAGTTTCGCGTAATCCGTGCTCGGGATCAGCCTTGGGGAAATTATCGATGTGATTTTATGGCGGTAGTTTGCGTCGCGTGCACGCGCCTTACCGCGCTTTCCAATCGGCTTTGTTAATGATTTACAAGGCGTCCTGTTATATCTATACAACATCAACGTTACACACGCATACACACACATATACACATACGCGCATGTATCTATATATATATATATAGAGAGAGAGAGAGAGAGTGCGTCTTAATTACGTACGTAAGTAAGTACTTACTTACATATAATAATGTGTTGTACCTTCATAGATGTTTCGTACAGGAGCAACAGTTAGCTCGCTCTAACTTTTCATCGATTTGATAGTCGATAGTAAGATTCTTGATGTTAATGCATCATTTAACATCCGTCCTCCCATATACATAAATTATTATCATGCTCGAACACTAATCGTAAATCATGGATAATTTGATCCTACCTTCGACTTATGCATATATATGTATGTTTATGTGTACGTATACTCGTATTCCCAATTGAATCATCATCTGAGAAACTTTCTCTTTATACATATTTTTGTTATTTCTATTTAAAATGATATTATATTTATTATTTATTTCATTTATAAGAGTTTTTATTAGCATATGAGTAAATCGTACAAATGAGTGAATTGGATAGCTTAACATTTTTATATACAGGATATTGCTAAGCAAATTTTATTCGTAAATGTAAAGTTAAATAATCACGTTATAATAATAATAATAATAATTATTATTATTATTATTTATTTATTTAATTCTCTTTTTATTACAGTCAGTAAAAAAAACTGGACGCGTAATCATAGCACACGAAGCACCAAGGACCAACGGATTTGGAGCAGAAATAGCAGCACGTATTCAGGTAAAAATGATTAGCGTGATTTTTTTTGTTGATTTCAATAAGATATAAGATCGATGATTAAATTTAAAAATGCATGTTACTTCATAAATAATCCATTCTCTTTATCGTATCAACTAGGTGCTGTAAAATGTTATTATATCTACGATCAGATATCGAGAAGGAGAAAGATACAATTTATAGATTATAGAATAATAAATAGATAGGCAGGAGATATATGTAATATTCATATATATATATATATATATGTATATGCATATATGTATTATATCACTGAACGTCTCTTTGTACAGTTATTCGCAAGAAAGAATTTTTTCTTTCTTTTTTTTTTCCATTCTTCGGGTGCAATGCACGCTACGCTACGATTGTTAATATCTTTGATCATTGCAATTGAGTGCAATTAGCAGTAATAAAATTAATTACCAGACGTTGAATTTCTTCTTACGACTTTGAAATTATACCGCGCTGTTATACAGATAGTATATAAAATATATATATAGGTATACGTATATATAAATGAATATATTAAATACTATTACTATAAAGAGAAAATAATTATTCTTTTCTAGGAATTCTTTTTTTTTTAAATTGTATTACGTAATAAGATTACAATTAGTCATAAAAAGATCTATATCTTAATTTATATTAATATTACTATTATTTTATAAGAAAACAAATATAAAAAATAAAAATGTGAAAAAATGTAATGTATTAAATGAAATATTAAAATATTTTGCATATTTTTTAGGAGGAATGCTTTTTAAATTTGGAATCTCCAATTATGAGGGTCACCGGTTGGGATACACCATTTCCACATATTTTCGAGGAATTTTATTTGCCGGACAAATGGCGTTGCTTCGATGCAGTAAAAAAAAGTCTTGACTATTGAAGGATCATCGTTTAATCTAATAAGATTGAAGAGAGAAGACTAGAATAAATGGGGAAGAAAAGATCTATTCTGAACGTGTGACATTACTTGTAGAAGATTAGCAAATACTTATACATATGACTTTTAATGAATTTTATGACATCGATTTTTCGTATTTGCGGTATACTTATATATATATATATATATATATTTACTTACTTACTTAACTTACTTACTTACACTGTCTCAGGATCGACTTGTCACGTGTTCAAAGACCGGTCCCGCGACAATTTGATCGTATCATAGTAGTTCTATCTATATTTCTATCTCTCGATCTTTTTTTTTTATCCTGGTTTAACACCCTTTCCGTTCATATCAAAAAACGTGGCTCCCTTTTTATTTATCTCATATAACATAACAATATAAGATAACAATCGTTACTTACATTAGATTTTCGATAGTAAGATCACTTAAAAGATATAGATTTATAAGAGAACAAACAATATTATTTATTATCGATGTTTAATTATCTAGTCAAGATCGCTCATCAATGTGTTTGTCTTAAGAACAAACAAAAGACTTCAAATTTCCAAATTATAAACACTTGGGATATAATTATTCGTAGATATAAGTAAAAAATAAATTGAATAAAAAAAAGCCAAAAAAAAAAGAAAATAAATATTTTTTTGTAAGTATTAAGTAGTAAGCTTGCGTGTAAATCGTTATTGGTAGGTTAACTCCTAGTTAGCATTAGAGGTATATATCCCTGGCCCAGTTTTGTACCGACCAAACCCACATAAATCCTTTCGCGTCTAATTTAATGAGACGAAGAAAGACGATACCAAGCCCGGTCGGCGTCGGTGGTGACGGTGAAGTTAACGACAGATTGAGAACGGTGGAGGAGAAAAAAGGGTAGAAAGAAGTAGAAAGGGTAACCCCAACGACTAAACGATATATTCATAATTAGAAGGTGTATATCTACATAGAGTAATACAGTAGTATTATAATAGTATAGTAATATATGGAATAAATCGGGTCAAGTCCGTATCTTTCGTCGCGGTAAAATGAAGCGTCCGATCGTAACGACCGTCGTAATATAATATTTTAATCAAGGCTTCTCTCCCTCAGCCGCCACATTCGGAACATGATCGATCGATCGATCGATTTTGTATTACATTTTGAATCATATTTTACACACACATGCACACATAGTTTGGATAAAAAGAATCCTAATTTTATCGGTCGTCCTGTTTTCTTTTTTTTTTTCTTTTTTTTTTCTCTCTTCTAATTTCGTTCAGAAATTGATTGAGATCTTGTTTATTTGTCAATCTTTGAAAAAAGAAAAAAAAGAGAGAAAGATAAGAGGAGGGATAAAGTAGAGAATATTCGAAATTGAAGGAAGTTCGTGAAACGCGAACGCTTGTTCGTAACGTATTTTGTAATTTGAAAGGGAAACCACATTCTTTCACCGCGTATTATGATACGTGAAAGTTAGCAACGCAGCGCCTACGGTGTGATGCAGTAGGTACATTGAAAAGAGACGGAGAATGGCTGGCACATAAGACTGAGTAAAAGCTAAAGAAAGAGATAGAGATAGAAAGAGAGAGAAAGAAAGAGAGAAAGAGAGAGAAGTGATCGTTACTGTGAGACATGGACTATATCGAAGGTCGACCTGTTGCCTTTTTATTTCGTTGATTTTTGCGGGAATAGAGCAACTGTCCTCTCTCTCTCTCTCTTTCTCTTTCTCTCTTTCTTATTCTTTTATAGACTAGTTAACAACAACATATGGTTCAGATGCAAACCCACGTAGAAACCCATGTACGCTTATATGTTCGTAAGGATTTTCGTCAGCACGAAATAGTTCGGTCACCTGGAACGAATGGGGATCATCCTTGAAATGCTTCGGTTCCTACTCTGTTCCTCATTTTATTTGAAAGATTCCTGTTAGTGGGTAGACGATTCGAAAGGGATTCACCGATCCGGAACAATCGCGCAACCGATTTCGACGAATCTCATGGATGGATCTCTTTCAAACAAAGAAAGAAAAAAGAAAGAGAAAGAGAAAGAGAGGGAGAGAAAGAGAGAGATATCTTTGATATAGACAAAGAAAAGAGAAAGGAATCAAAGATATAGTAAAAATAATTGTAATAATAATGACAATAATAATAATACGTATTATTCAATAATTTCATATGAGATATCGCATTTGTTTCTGTTATAAACATTCTTGATTGATCTTTGATTTAGAAGTTTTTTTTGTTTTCTTTTTCTTCTTCTTCTTTTTCCACGTGTCAATGTCACGCAAGTGTTTAACTCGCGTTTGAAAAAAGAATCAATTGCATGAGTGCACGAGTGTAACGACGTGTATTAATTGATTTATAATACGCATACGCTTTTAAGTCATTTCGTCTCTCAATTATATCTCCATTCTTTTACATTTTCTTTTCTTTTCATTTCGTATCATTTCGACAGATGTTCAACGCGAACAAGTGTTCTCTTTAGTCTACACCAAGAACTTTCTCGAAATTTTATTTTGTATTTTTTATATTATTCCAAGCGTAAGATTAACAAATCAAATGGTAATTTACAATTGGTATGTTAAGTCTGTTTATAGATTTTTCTTTTCTTTTATCTTTAAGTTATGTCTTAATTTATTACGCAATGCAATTTATTACCAAATACTACGTCATCGTGATATTTTATGAATTTAAATAAAAATGTTTTGTTTGTGATTTTTCTTTGTTCTTTTTTTTTATTATTTTATTTTTTAAATATCTGTTATACTCTACCTTCACCATCAATGACTGCGTAGGATAGATAACTTTTTTCTTTTCCGTTCTTTTCATTTTTTTTTTCTCGAGCTAGTCAAGAACGTAATAGCGCGTGGATATTACGAAGGCAAGGGATTAGAAAGAGAAAGAAAGAGAGAGAAAAAGAAAGAGAGAAACCTAACTACGAACGGCAGACTCTCAATAGGAATTTATATAACTTTGAAACAAACGACTTCTTTGTCTCCTCTTAAATTGTAGCCCATGATTATCGCGATTAGCGATTGGCAATTAAGAGCTTAGGTATTTTCCGGTAAACGTCGTTGACTCGTTACCATAATTAAAACAAACCACGAGGATTTCCTTCTTAGACGAAGAGCTTATGTTAGAGTTAACAAGAAGGTTCAAGAATACCTGTAGGAAGACAAATACATAGATATTTGTATGTATATGTACACATATATGTATGTATGTATATAAAGAGAGGAAAGACTTGGACTCGTCTAAGGTCCTAAGAAAAACGTTTTGTGGTATCTTGATTAGTCGAGTTTTACTTCGAGAAAGTTTACTCTATCTTACCAGATTGCGAAAACTACTTGAAAATCATAGTAAGAACAATTTTTTTACAATACGCGTTCTAATAGTTAAAAATAAATATAATCGAAGAAAGGGTATTAGGAAATAAATCGTAATTAAGATCAATCATATTATAATAATCGTCATCTACGAGTAGATTGGATTTATGTTGATCGCATTCTATTGTTGTTCATTTGCATATTATAATATTACTATATTTTTTATAATGACATATCAAACTTTGATAAAGTTTTTTTACTTAATTTAAAAACTTCTACACAAAGTGTCAAAATAAGATTAATATTAAGTAGATTTCAAGGTAAAATATAAGCCACTGTTTTTAATCTTGACCATGTTGGCATCATCTAATACTTGCCAACTTTACTGGCACGGGCTACTTATATACATATGTATATATATATACATAGGGACATACCGAAGTGTAGATAAAAGTAGATTGTAGATAGACGGGTAGATTTTTATATATATATACATGTATAAATATATACAGTAGCATTTGAATGTGGCCCTGCCAGCCGACACGTAGGAACGCACAGAAGGCGTGAGCGACAATTTCGTCGAGCCGGAGAACGTACGTAACTTACGCTCACATTTCTATGTACTTTATATATATAAATATGTAGATAAAAAACGTTAAAGGTCCTTGCAGCCCCTTCTTGCCCATTCCACATTGAATAAACTGGATTTAGAAACGATATGATAATTACTATCCGACGTTACATTTTCCCTGATAAATCGAAACACAATCTCTTTTTCTTTAAAATATACGTTATTTTTACTCATACATTTTCATTCAACATTTATGAGTAAAAAATATAATATATACACGCGATCGAATATAACACTTTTATTAAAAAATATTGTTAAACGTAAGAATTAATGTTTAAATTATATATATA